AGAAACAGTAATAAGAATAAAGACACTAAACTTACAATTAGACTTTCCCAATATCATACATATGAACAATAACCATAGTCACAAATATGAAAGACTTAATGTTTTACACAAATAATTCTGATAATATCATAAAAGAAGAAACAAATAATTCACTCAACATATAAATAAATACGAATTATAAGTAGAAAATATTAAGAAACTGAAATAAATATTTATTAATAATCATAACATTAAATGTAGACATTTCTATTAATTAGTCCTTTTTATTGAAACTATTCTATCTATCTTTTTCATATTTACTTTTAATTTGTTTTATTGTTGATTCAAACGAATAAAATAACAGTTATTATTGGTTTATTGTCTACTAAATTAAATAACACTTTTGTTCATAAAACAAAAATTAAAATAATTCTATAGTGCTGTTATAAAAATACAAATATTCACTTAAACAATGAGCGTTTAAACATTTTTGTTTTATAAGAAATTTTCTCTAATGTTGAAAGAGACTTTGTTTCACAAACAGTTTTATGTGAATCTACAAGCAGGGAAGACATTAAATTAAATACTAATTCTATATCATTTGGTTTAGATGTGTCACACTCAAAAACTTCCTTAATACATGATTGAGCTTTCAATTTTATCTGATCATCCACAGATACTTCAACTGGATAATTTACCATTTCATTTTTAAGTCCGATAACATAAATAATAGGAATATGTTCAACATTTCTATACACATATGAAATCCATCGTTGAGTGACAGCAATAAATGATTCTTTATTATAAACTGAATAACAAATAACAAAATAATTAACTGATTTAAAGAAAATGTTTCTAATATCATCATATTGACAACTTCCATTACTATCATAAATCACATATTCTTCATCTTTAAATCTATTCATAATTCTATATTTGAATGAAATTTTAGAGAATAGTAGAGGACAATATTTCTTATTTTCAAAGGTATTCATTAGAACAGTTTTACCTATTTCATTATTTCCAAGCAATATTGTTGTATAAGTTTTCATCTCATAACATTTACTTTATCCAAAATTTTTTCTTTTTAAATAGACTCATTTTTTGATTTCTCATGAATCTCTCATTCTATTTTTAGTTATTATTTTAAATAATAAAAATATTATTATATTATAATATTTCTATCTCGAAAGATATTTTTATAATTTTTTTGGTGAAGATTTAAACAAGAAAATTCTATTTAAATTAATATCAGAGAGCTAAAAAAGAAATTAGTCAAAAACTGATGTAATTTCAGAAATCATAAGACGAGAAAGTACAAATTGTGGTGATGTTAAGAATGAGCCATGAGTATAAAAAGAGGTGTTGGCTTGATCAGAAAGAAAACTAAATTCCTTATTAAGTTTAGAATTTAAACGTAGTGTAGAATTAATAATAAAATTCTTTTGATTATCTGTTTTACAGAAAGAAAGAAATGCGAGACGTTTATTTTTAACCTTCCAAATGACTGGTGGGTTTATAGTTTTACCATTATAAAGAAAAGAAAATAACACCATTTTAGGATCTTCCCATTGAATTAATGGATGTAGACTTGACATTATTTGAGAACAACTAGGTAAAGAAGTATGATAACTCCCAAACACATCTCCATTTGATAAACAATAAAAAATTACAACTTTTTGTCGAGAATATAAGCTTTGAAAAATATGAGAAGTTGTAAATTCATCTTGGCGTGAATCATAAATTGTCTGAAACTTTTTTTCATCTAAAATAATGTACAAATATTGCTCTAAATCAAAAGACTCTTTAACAGAATGATGTAATGGAAAATCTAATGCTTTGGTTAATTCTTTTTCTCTTTTAATTTGATTTCTTTGTTTTTTTAAAATTTGTTGTTGTTTTCTTTTCAAGTTTTTGGACATTGGCTTTTAGATTCATTTAATCTTGAAATTAAGAAAAGATAAAATAAGATATAAAAATGAAATGAAAAAATAAATGTTGAAAAGAGAAAAATTTGTTAATAAAAAAAAACAGAAAAATAATAAAGAAAAGAACAGAAATTCAAAAAGAGAAAAGAGAAAAAAACCCTTTAACGTTGAGAATCTAAAAAATAAAAAGAGAAAAAGAAAGAAAATAAAAAAAGAGAAACAACAGAAAAAAATATAAAAAAGAAGAAAACCTTTTAGAATATAAAAAGGGTTTCCGAAAATCTTAAAAAGTACAGGAGAGAGAATGGAAGATATCCCAGTTTCTCCAATTCATACAAATGAATCATTTCCTAATAAATTACCACCGGCAACAAGTATTATTTCAGCTATATCAGAAGATAGAATTGAATCAGAAGAAAGTCAAATTATTAAAAAATCAGAAAGTGATAATAAGAAAATAAGACGAAAGAATAATGTCAATGAAGAGACATTAAAAATAATACATAATATGTACATAAGAGGATATAAAGCAAAAGAAATTGCTATAATTACAGAACTAACAAAAAGTACAGTTTATAAATATATTGAAAGAATGAATGATGAAAATCCACAACGAGATGACATGAGTAGTTTAATTAGAAAAAGAGGAAGAAAAAAATCAGAAAATACTTTTTTACAAGATAGAATTCGTGACTTTTTAAATTCAAATAATGGAATGACCTTAAAATGTATGAAAGATATTCTTAAAGATGAAGGTCATGATATTTCTATTAGTTATCTTTCTAAAATTATTAAAAAAATGGGATTAGGAAAAAGAGCTAATCACTCAATTACTCAAGTCAGAAGATCTAATGAGCCACTTGAATCGTTCTCATTACAAGAAACTCTTTCTACTTTTACATCTCAACAACAAGATATGTTACCTCCTCCAACAGGAAATTTTAGTCAATAAGACTAGATGTTGTATTAATTTGTTCTTTTTCTTTTAAAGAGAGTTATCATCTTTTAATTGAATTGTTTATTTATCAATTAATGTTTTTGTTGTCTAAGAAGATAGAATGAATAAAAAAATAAATTTCTTTTTTTTTTAATTGTAAGTTGATCTAATTTGTAAAACAAAAAAATAAATTTTTATTGATAGTAATAATGTCTTTTAAATTATTTTAATTTCTCTTTCATATTTGAGTTAAATAAAATAAGTTTAATTTCGCCAAGGAATGGTTTTAAAAAAAGAAAAAGAAAAAATATAAATGAATGGTATTAATTATGGTTCATTTTAAAAATAATTTTTAGTTCAGAGAAAAAATACAAAAAAAGATCAACTTAAAAAAACAAAACAAACAAAATGAGTCATTATACATTAGTTATGCTAGGGGGTGGTGCTGTTGGGAAATCAGCCATCACAGTTCAATTAGTTTCTGGAGTATTTGTACAAATGTATAATCCAACAATTGAAGACTCTTTTAATACTACAATTGACGTTGATGGAGAAATGGTTTCATTAAATATTGTTGATACTGCAGGTCAAGAAGAGTATTCATCATTAAGAGATCAGTACATGAGGTCTGGTGATGGATTTGTTATTGTTTATTCAATAATTTCAACTACATCATTTTTAGAAGTAAGTGGAATTCGAGATCAATTATTTAGGGTATTAGAAAAAGAACCCGATGAACATATTTGTATGGTGCTTTGTGGTAATAAATGTGATATGGAAAGTGACCGCCAAGTTAATACTTCAGAAGTAAAACAAATTGCTGAAGAATGGAAATGCCCTTTTTATGAAACTTCCGCTAAAGAAAGGATTAACATCTTAGAATCATTCCAAGCTTTGGTTAGAGATATCAAAAAATGGAATGCTGTACCTGACACTGAAACTACTTCTTCTAACTCTTCTTCTAAACCTGAAAAGAAGAAAAAAGCATGCTTCATTTTTTAATACATTTAAAATACTATTGTTTTAACTAATTATTTCGGCGTATACAGTAACGAAATTCAATTTTTCTTTCTTTTTTTTTATATTTTCTCTTTTTTTATTTTTTTTTTTTTATTTATTCTTATTTTAATAGTTTTCTCTTAGAAATCTTCCTTTAAGAAGGAAGAATAA